TTAAAATTGGCATCTTATCTGTTTCTTCATACTGATGCGATAAATAAGTGGTTTCTAAATAACTTTTGAGTGATATAAGGGAGATAATTAGCTACTTCTGGTGAAGTAAATGTAACTTCCGGTCTCATATGATAGTTTCTTTCACACTGATTCCAAAAATATAGTTTCTATATACTTTTGTCTGTAAACCAGGAGATAATTGGCCACTTCCGGTTTATCGAAAGTCATTTCTAGTCTTTAGTGATAAGTTAATGTATTAAAATTACAAAATATATGGATTCCGAGTACTTTTCCATAAAGAAAGTGCAAAAATGGATACTTCCGGTTTTCTGAGGGTCATTTCCGGTTGTCATTTTTTCAAAGTCATATGTCACCCAACCTTTTGTAAAAGGTCATATGGCTTTATTAGGAACCAAGTTGAAGTAATAATCAATTAACCTTATAATTAGACATTTCAGGGGCACTAACTCCTATAAAATGCCATAAGATTGTTTCAGACCACGTGTAACATATTTTCATTACAATAAAGCAAACATTTTGCACTTGTTCTTTCATATATATCTTTAAAAGTGTTGGAGAAAATGCAAAAACAAGGAAAAGTCAAAATTGAGAACTTGACCTTGACCTTTGACCTTGACCTCATTTTCTAAGTTAGGACCTAGAGACCTCAAATAAAAAGATTCCATAGTTATACGGTTAACGGTTTATGAGTTAAAAAAAAATACCGACAAATTTATTTGTTAAAGGTAGATAACTCCTAATAAATTTCATCGAATCGCTTCGATCCAAATTAGCCAAAAATTCCTAAGGATCTAACGAACAATTTAGAAAAAGAATTTTGTCGATATCTTTATTTGTTATGAAGGAGATGCACACACTTGATAAACAGTAAATAGGGAGATAACTCTTACAAAGAAAATTGTTCTGCTCAGAATGTGAAAATAAAAAGCGCACAAACTGTATGATACTATATAAGAAATATCTTAGCGACATATTGCGAGAACAAAATTTGGTGGAAGAAAAAAATAATAATAATCAGAACAAATACAATAGGTCTTTCCACAGAAAAGTGGAAAGACCTAATAACTGAATTTAATCATTACTGAATTGAATTCCATTATAAGAAAAACAACAGAATTAAAGCAAGATTGATCATTTATTTTGACATTCTATGAAAAAGTTCTGAAGCAAAAAACATAGAACTTGAGCATTGTCTTTATAATCATTATTTATGTCAATTAATTTTCCTTTAAATAATCGGTTTGATTGGCCTGCATGAGAGGCTGAAATTCGTCTCCCGCTGAGCCATGAGAAAGAGTAAATTATCTTCTTCGTATTAACCAATCAAAATCTGGCATTTCAACGTAAAGTATAAATATGTCAAATGCCAAGAACAGAAAAATAAGAAATTCGTCTTTACACTAAATCCATTGGATGTTGGATGTGTACGGATTGATAATTTAGTCTTAGATGCATGATATTTTTATTAGTTGTTAGTGGCTTTGAACTAGCTGTCAGTAACTGCGAGTACTCTCAGATCTGTACTTAGTGTCTTTTTGTTGTTTGGATGTACAAGTACCCGGCCACGTCCACTTGTATTTGTATTTTTATCCATCTGATGAGTTAAGACTCTTTCAACTGATCTTTATAGTTCGTTCTTGGTCCGAGTACACAGTTATTTCGTAGTGCATTTCTTTTAGACAATAAATGAAAATTAAAAAAATCCCACCTGCGCTTTCTCAATAATATTTTTACAGTGTGTTGTACTACTTTTGGGACAAATTATATCAAAATTATAGAAAACTTCATCGGCTCTAACTCAAAATATGGACAATTTTATGTTAACAGGGTCTTGAAATCTTTTGACAGCTTCCGAAGTGCTTATTTTTAACCTTTTTCAGCTGGACCAAATCACTACTTTCCTTTAAAATTCATGACCCAAAGTTTTTTACAGTGTAATTTCATCCCCCTACTTGCTATTTGAGGCATAAAACATGGAGAAATAAATTTGGAAGGGGTATAAAAAAAATTGGCAAGTAACACACTGTCCACACTAGGGACTATATTTGTGGACAACGAAAATCAAAGGACGATATCTGTGTACTCGGACCTAATAGGATAGAAAAAGTTGACCAATCTTAATAAAACTTGGTATGACCAAAGCTTAATAAATTATGAGACTGCTTACAAAGTTTCATGGCAATAAGATATATATTATAGACAGTATGATAAATTCTATATTCAACTTTGCGTGTTAAATTTTGACGTTAAAATTGAAAAATTTCAACTATCAACATTTGGGACTTTTTAAATTAAAATATTGCAAAAAAATACTTTTAAAATGCCTTTATATATAATATATCATGTATTAAAAGCAATAGAGTACTCATTTGATATATCAGACTTAGCATAATTATTCAAAAGTCAAATTTATATGAGCCTGTGCCTAAAAATGGAGGTTTTCCAATGAAGGGGGGCCTTACATGAAGATGTAATATTTTCCAGCAATTTTAAATTTGTGAAGCTTTTTGGTTATAAATAATCCTTACATATGTATTTAATGTACTTTAAATGGAAAGAAAAGTTACAAATAACATATCATATTAGTTTAAAAGGGTCTTAGGCCAAGTAAGACTGAAAATAATTTAGAGTCAATTTAGGCCGTAGCACATATTTACATTTAAAAATGCATATTGAAGCTATAGGAAATAAAAATTTGTGTCTTTTCTAACATTTCTATACTCAGGTGACATGATACAATAAATCTGAGCACAAAAAGACTCTTGCACTCAACTTTTTTTGCAGACGGTATGGTCTGATACAAAGATTTTTCACTTTTTAGTGAAAAACTTGCAGGCAATTTTAGTCTCAACAGGCTTATATTTGAACCACTTGCTATCCTACAGAAGAAAAGAAAGATATTATGTGAAATGAAACAGTTACAAAAGACATTGATAAGTGCTTTTTATACAAATTTAGTGAGGTCTTTATTATGGACTTCCACTTTTATGTACCAAGCTCCTCACATTTAACTTGATCCAAACAGGGCGTTAGACGAGGGTAATTTATACAACACATTTTGCACATATTGTCTGAGATAATCTTCTTTTCTGTACATTCAGAGTTCACAAATGAGTAATACAACTGGATTAAAGCATAGAAACACAAATATTGACACATGAAAACCTGTCAGATAGAAAGTCAGAATGCCACTGCACTTATGCATCAAAATTGAAAAAGCTATAAAATGCTTATTTTGACCATATAATGCCAAAAATTGGTCATTTTTGCAGAAATTCTATCAAATAAAAGTTTAAATCCTTTAGTTTCATGGTATTTGACAAATTGACACCATTAAATCATTCAGGGAAGTTGCCAAAGTACAGATTCTATATTTCCTGATTTCACCTAATAGGATAGAAAAAGTTGACCAATCTTAATAAAACTAGGTATGACCAAAGCTTAATAAATTATGAGACTGCTTACAAAGTTTCATGGCAATAAGATCTATATTATAGACAGTATGATAAATTCTATATTCAACTTTGCGTGTTAAATTTTGACGTTAAAATTGAAAAATTTCAACTGTCAACATTTGGGGCTTTTTAAATTAAAATATTGCAAAAAAATACTTTTAAAATGCCTTAATATATAATATATCATGTATTAAAAGCAATAGAGTACTCATTTGATATATCAGACTTAGCATAATTATTCAAAAGTCAAATTTATATGAGCCTGTGCCTAAAAATGGAGGTTTTCCAATGAAGGGGGGCCTTACATGAAGATGTAATATTTTCCAGCAATTTTAAATTTGTGAAGCTTTTTGGTTATAAATAATCCTTACATATGTATTTAATGTACTTTAAATGGAAAGAAAAGTTACAAATAACATATCATATTAGTTTAAAAGGACTGTCCACACTAGGGACTATATTTGTGGACAACGAAAATCAAAGGACGATAACTGTGTACTCGGACCATGTTGTACTGTCACACCATTGTTTTTCGTTCATTTTTTGTACATAAATCAGGCCGTTAGTTTTCTCGTTTGAATTGTTTTACAATGTCATTTCGGGTCCTTTTATAGCTGACTGTGCGGTATGGGCTTTGCTCATTGTTGAAGGCCGTACGGTGACCTATAGTTGTTGATTTCTGTGTCATTTGGTCTCTTGTGAAGAGTTCTCTCATTGGCAATCATACGACATCTTCTTTTTTATATCATATCGATTGTAAAATGCCATGAACAGGTACATGAAAAAACTGCTATGTCGGAGTATTGATAGAAGATATGTTTGATCTTTGACAGAGAGTAAACATTTCTCAAGAATACGATATGCCCATGTCCATTGTCAAATGCCACGACCAGAAACATAAAAAGCTGTCATGTCGGAGTGTTGATATTGGATATGATTGATCTATGAAAGAGAGTAAACCTTTCTCAGGAATACGATATATCCATGTCCATTGTCAATTCCCACGAACAGACACATGAAAAAACTACCATGTCAGAGTGTTGATAGTGGATATGTTTGATCTATGTCAGAGAGTTAACATTTTTCTATCATAAGGCGAGAACCTGGAACCGTGTACAAAATGAACAATTCGTGACAGTAGCCGTAGAATTTGTTAAGGATTGATTTTGCCTTCCCTATAATTGAAGAGATAATGTTCATTCATCTATGTCATGGCAAAATAAATTAAAAAATATACATAATAAAGTTACCGCTTACGGGGTTACTGTAGTATGTAAATAAAATTGTATCTATTTTGTTAAGTAATGTGACTGAAATGAAACTCCATTAACAAGATTTTCTGAAGCATTGAAATCACTTTTAAAAATAAAATTTTTTAATCATATGCAGGAGCAAAATTACTTCAAAAGTATATCGTTTGAACCATAAGTGTTTTCATATTGACTATAAATGTTTCGTTCCAGTCGAATAAATCAAGGATGCATTTCTTTTATTTTCTGTCGTGCTTGGTTACCAGGTTTTACTTATTACAAAGCGTGTGTAATAAATAATTTTTCTAAACTATTAAATTATCCTACTACATTCATTTCCTTTTAAGGATTCTGCCTTTCTTAAATATAAACCTTTGTATGTGTATGCAATGGAATTCTTATTATCCAGGTCTACTATATAGATGAAGGAAATTTGTTTATCATTGTTCACTCGACTAGTTGATATAGATATACGTGTAAGCACTGGTTTTATTCCATATATTCGGCTATGAAGATACTGGTAACGTTTTTTGTTTTAATTTCACTAGGAAAAGAAATACAAACGTGCCAAGAGGGAGACTGCATAAAACTTGAAAGATATACATACAGTAACTCTGAACCTAGCGTCGATTTAGAATGCAGTATTAATGTTCCAGGTGCGCGACCAAGATCGTGGATACATTCTTTTAAATCGAAGTTTATTCGTAAATTATGGGGAAGAGTGTTCAATAATACACGTCATGTATTATCTATACCTTTTTGTAGTACTATGGATATAGGTCAATACACCTGTTTTTGGGATATGCCTGGAAATCCCTCCATCAACAAGACGACAACACTTATAGTTAATGGTTAGTATTTCTTTTATAAGTATGCATACAAGATTTTGGTTTAAATATAAGACCAAATAACAGTTAAGGGCAAGGAACAGTATGGGCTATTTCACAGTTTTGGTAAAATTTTCCATATAACTGTGGCTCCTTGAACTATAACTGAAAATCGAATAAATAATGCATTTATCTCCCTTTTTCTGAAATATAACTGATTGGATTTTTTCAAAGTAGATGAACATTTGTATAGACACACCATCAAATCGGCGAAAAACGTTCTTAAATTTGTCTTTAAATCATCAAATCTCAAATTTCAAATCCATAGATTTTTCTTAAAAACTAATATGTTGTTAATACTTTAATTTCCATTTACTGAAATAAATAGTAAGAGCTGCGTTGGATAGAAATCAACCTTATGCAAATGACTATTAATACATCAGCTGATCACCTATTTCGGGTTGAAAAAATCTCTACGGAAAGTCTGTAACTGTTTGAAAATTGAATTGCTATAAGAATCCTACAAAACAGTCAAAAATCATCTCTTATTTCGTATTTTAATCTTCCAAAATCAATCAGTCTTATATATGTACATGTATACGTGATCTTGCATAAGGTTGATTTCTATCCGACGCAGCTCAATTTAAGATGGTCACCACATAAGTGTACCTTATCTGGATCCTTATAGGGCTTTGGTCTTAATTGAACAGTAAACGTTTCATATATTTGAAGTCTATGGCAAACTAGGGTATTCTCGAAATACGCGTCATTTTCATTGAAAAAAGGAAAACAATACCAAGAGGCATCATAAAAAAATACGTCGAAGAAAGACTGAAAAAATCATGACAAGAAGACAGTTACAAAAAGCTAGACAGAAATATAAAATTCGAGCATCACAAACTACATCAAAATCCTGAGTGAACTGGTGTGCTTCGGAAGGGTCGGCAATGTATGCTCCACTTGTGACACCAGGTGTGCTGATAATTATGACAGTTATAAGCATTTATACCATTATAGTTTAGTTATCATTTTCATTTTCATTTTGTCATTCTCAGCTCTTATATCATGGTATCTATGATGAGTTTATTATCAACTATTATACTATCTCCTCATTTTATATTGTTATAATGTTTAAGGATGTTCACTCCTCTATTTCAAAATAACAAGCTTTTTAAAAGACTGTTAGAAATTAATAGTTTATATATAACGGAACTTAAGAAGAACAAATAAATGACAGGTCAGTGTCCTTGTTTTTAAGATATAATCATTTAACAATTTGGAGGGAAATGATTCTCTCTAGATTTCTTATACATTTATCATTGGCACATTTTTCTTTCAAAACTTATGAAAAATAATAAGGATTTTATAAGATTTAAAAAAAATCTCTTTTTTAACTATAGATAATAAAATTATGAAAAGATAAATAAGGATTAGCGGGCAAAATTTTTATTGCCACTTCATGGATAAAACTAGAGGATTCCGAATATCTAACAAAAAGTCAAAAACAAGAGTAGTTAACATCCTTTAATGTCTGTCCATGCTTTAATCATTTCTCTAACCTTTTAATTTGGTTGTACATGAACTTGTTATGGTGCTATATCGTAGGTCCTGCAATTGTTTCATCTCATCTTGTATACACACGGACAACTTGGACTGAAATGAATTTGAAAGTGATGTTTTACTCTCATCCAATTCCTACACAGCTACAATGGTATGTCAACGACAAAGAAATTAAACCAGGACCAAAGTACTCACAACCGATTTACTTTGAAAAAGTATCACTGCGATTACACCATAACATACATGTAAACATTTCTGGATATACAGCCTACCTTACTATTTATAAAGATACCTATGATCCTGCAGGTGTTTATCGATGTGTTATAGAAAATAAATATGGAACAACGGAAGAAATTATCAACGTCAAAGAAGGTAATACATCTAATAATTACAAAAATAAAATTATCTTCATTTTTTTTTTAATTGGTTGGTCTCGTGGTAACGTGTTCGCCTTTTAGTGTGCACGTGGGAGGTCGTGGGTTTAAATCCCGGTTGAGTTGAAACAAAGACTTTAAAGTTGGTATTTGCTGCTTCCCCGCTAAGAACAAGTGAGAGCAAAACTGTTCAGTTCGGAGTCAGAATAATGTGCCTGGGAAGAGTGACATGTTTTCATGCGAACTGTTACCTTGCGAACAAGCACGTAAACATTCCGGGTTAGTGTGTTTGTCCAGTACATAGCAGGGTTCATATTCATATCGTGTTAACATGATCACGTCCTAAAAATTCATTTAATTTCAATAAAAATTGCCACTGAACGTTAAACAGCCACCCATCCATACATTCATTCTATTAAATTGAGGGAAAATAATAGTATGAAGGATGATCACGAATCAAATGGGAAAAAAATACTGAGAAAAAAACCTTCTACAAAGCTGTTAAATATATTACAAAATCCTTTTCTGTCTTTAAAATGACAAAAATATATGACAAACATCTTAAAATCTTCACACAAGGACAGCTTACCCCTTAAAAACACCAATAAAAAAGCTTAACACGGACTGAAATGTAACAGAATTTACTAGTATTCTTTTTTTTGGGGGGTGGGGGGGGGAGGAGGATTCTTATTTTTCTTTTTATGTATAATGTAAGTATTAATGGGATTGAAGTAGATTTTGGACTTTTAAGGATGTTCGCTACTCTGTTTCAAAATAACAAGCTTTTCAAAAGACTGTAATAAATTGATAGTATATAGGTAAATGAAATAAAAAAGCAGAAAAAAGTGAAGGGTCCGTTTGCTTGTTTTCTAGATATAAGCCATTGAAAATTTGGCGGAAAATACTTCTCTTTAGATTTTTCATACATTTAACATTGGAAACTTTTTTTCTGTCAAAAACGATGAAAAAATAACAAGGATTTTATGAATTTTCAAAGATGACATTTTAAACTGTATGTAATCAAATTATGGAAAGAAAAGTAGGGACAAGCGTGCAAAATTTTTAAAGGCACTACATGGATAAAACCAGAGGATTCCGAATATCTGGCAAAAATTCATAAACAAGAGGAGCAAACATCCTAAAGACGACAGTAAAGAAATATACAGTGATTCAACTATAACCAATCAAAGTATATAGGAATAAACATAAGGACAATGCGTTCAATATAGGCGTCAGTAGTTTGTTTTTAAACTAGCTTTGAATAGACGCTAGAACTGTTTCAATGCTTCGAAAAAGAAAAGAATGTAATAAAGCAATTGCTTTATACACTCTGTCATTGAAGCGATGCATTTAGAACTTGATGAGCAAAAGATTTAATCTCATGATATCGCACAGAAAATGTCGATAAGTAAAAAGAAAGGGAGAGTGTAAGAAAAAAGGGAGACGTAAGATGATAGGGAGAGTATGAATAAATAGAGAGTATAAGAATAAACAAAGAGAGTGGAGAGTACATGCAGAAAGGGAGAGTGTATGAAGAAATGGGAGAGTGTTAGAAGAAATAGATATTGTAAGAAAATAAACTGAAAGAAGAAAGGGAGACTGTATGAAGAAAGGGACAGTGTATGAAAAAATGGAGAGTGTATGAAGAAAGAGAGTGTATGAAGAAAGGAAGTCTATGTAGAAAGGGAGAGTGTATGAAGAAAGGGAGATGGTATTGAAAAAGGAAGAGTTTAAAACGAAAGGGAGAGTGTAAGACGAAAGGGAGACTTAAAGAAGAAAGGGAGACTGTAAGAATAAAGGGAGACTGTATGAAGAAAGTGAGAGTGTACGGAAAAGGAGAGTGTTTAACAAGAAAAGAGAGTTTAAGAAGAAAGGGAGAGTGTAATAAGAAAGGAAGAGTGTAAGAAAATAGGGAGAGTGTAAGAAGATAGGGAACGTGTGTGAAGTGTAAAAAGAAAGGGAGAGTGTATGAAGAAAGGGAGAGTGTATGAAGAAAGGGAGAGTGTATGAAGAAAGGGAGAGTGTAAGAATAAAGTTAGAGTGTACGAAGATAGGAAGAGTGTAAAGAGATAGGGAGAGTATAAGAAGAAATGAAGAGTGTATGAAGAAAACCCTCTCAGTTCTATATAAATGTATATGTTAAAATAGTGTTTTTATTATCACATTTTAGAAATGATGCTACAGAAAACAACTAAGGAATCAGTAGCCATCATTGGTGCTGTATTGGGTGCCGCATTATCTTCAATTTTGTTTGTTGTTCTACTATGTTGCGTTATTTTTGTAAAGAAAATGCGGCGAAAAAATACAGGTAAAAAAATAAAATACGATAAATAGAGAATATTAATATCTTATTGTTGGTACAGATGAGGTATTGAAAAAGCCAAGTCAAATAACGCTTTATCCTGATCACATAATACATTATAAACTTAAAGCAAGCTTAAAGTACTTGACCTATTGATATAGAAATCGTTTGATTAAAAACAAGAACAATCGTACCGTCGTGTGATAAAGTAGAAATTAATGAGGAGTAAAACGTTTTCAATAATATAAATTGTTAGTTAATATAAAGGAATACAAAACTCATTATAATTTTTTTCCTATATTTTCATGAGATCTACATTTTCAACATATTCATTGTTTTCATGTCTTTCAAATTCATATGGCATTACGTCATTAATATAAAAATAAGAAGATGTGGTATAATGGCCAATGAAACAACTCTCCACCAGAGACCACATGACATTTATAAAGTTTAAAAATATTGATATACAAAATAGCAATCATATATAATAAATGCCTATTTGTGCAAACTGATGAAATCTGATATATATCACTATCATGTTTTAAACAATTTTAAATTAGACAAATATTTCATATTCATGAAATACATATTATTGTCATGCTAAGAAGTCTAGTGCACTGTAAAATTGTTTTTACTGTGCAATATTTTATTAGGTACTCAATTTACAGTAACTATGAAACATTTCATCAGCATATACAAAAAATTCTCCAATGCCCTCAAGATTAAAATTGTAACTTTTTTTTAATTCTTTTTTTAACATAATCTATGAGAATTTTCGCATATATGTTCTAATTTTTCCCGTTAGAATTTTTACTCCTGAATTTGTAACTGACAAAATACAGTATATATAAAAGATACAGGTGTAAAATAACTTGTTTGGTCAATCAAATTTGAAATTGTCTTAGAGTTATGCTGATATTTGTTCGGATATGAAATTACATGAATATCTTGAAGCATCCTAAATCAGGAGATCTGGTATGATTGTCAATGAGCATTCATTCTTATTGCTGGGTCAGTACTTTTTCGAAAATTAAGGTATTAACCCATATTGTACAGTATATATATATTGATATATATTGAGAAATTGATTTAAAAATGTAACTTATACAAATGCTTCAATATTCTCTTTGAAAATTATAAAATGAGACTGCAGCATGGCAGACATCGTCTATAAAACAAACAATGTAAAATTACAATTTAGTGTCCATCTCCGATGGTAGTTCCCATGAAACACATAAATCATGTTTAACAAAGAAGGATCACATAGCCTATCAAAATGTACAGAAGATAAAAAAAATCAACACAGTTAACTTCCGAACAAAAACATCTGTTGGTACTATAGCAAAAATATGCCGTGAACTTTTAGCTTTGCTTAACACTATATAGAATCTTCGATACAATAAGGTTTATTAATATGTTCATTATCGGGGGGAAACAAGTGTAAGAAAAATATGCATGTTCCGTTGCATATATTGTTCATTGTTACCAATTACAATACTCAAAATGAGTTAAAGTTCACAAATATGTTATGTCTATGCCTAAACTGCATTTAAGATTTACGCCGTATATATTTTTTTTGCAGCCAAGAAGACAGATTCACCGGAACTAGAAGTGTAAGTGTTTATAAGTATTGTTTTACGTCTAATGTGTTCTAAGAAATTCAAATCTTTTTCTCAATGTGATGTGTTTAGACTTTTACCGTATCGAATTAAGTATTTTAATACCAGCAATATCTATAGTTTATTAAAGATGAATTTCCTTTTTCTGGTAATTTTATCGCTTAACAGCAAATGATTTGTGAATTTACTGAAATGTACTCAGACATTTAAACATGTTTCATAGTTCAAATGGCCGAATTGCTTATTAGTGTAAGTTTTCTGTACATACATCGACGTACTCTTTTGAAAAAAGAAACATACGTTTTATTACATACGTGATACAAGGATGCTTTTACACTTGTTTTTTTAACAGTCCTCTGAACGTCACTCAAAATTCTACGAGACGCCTTTTACAAAGTTCAATGGTACCCTTGGTGTTGATCTTCCTACATTGGGATAATGTTTTTTTCACCATTTTGTTCGTTTTAGGAATGGACTATATCAAGACTCCTCCTCTGATGGCTACATGTATATAGATGATTGTCTTACCGACATTTCAAGTACATATTCTGAGTAAAATATTGTAAAAATAGTTTTTACAAAGTCGTGTAGTATTGATATGATCAACCTGAACTATACAAATTTATTTCAGTACTCTCTCAGTAATGAAGGCTATCAATGGTAGAAGCCCTTCATGTCAACCTACAGTTTATTCATTATACCTGTATGTTTGCAAAATTGTATATAGAATAAACCACATATTACAAACATTATTAAGGACTAGAATTGAGAGTATAAACTCATGTTTACCTGTAAAACGTTTGTGTAATTTTATCATCTTGTTTTTATTTGTTTTAATCTGCCAATTGTTATACCTAAATAAGTTATTCTCTTGATTGGACCTTCGGTCTTGTCCTCGGTGAAAAGGAACCCCTAATTTAACACATACGTTGCAAAACGTGCTCGTTAATTTCCGACAGTTGTTGGTATTTTACGCTCCAGCAAAATAGCAAAATAAAAATCCATCTAGATAGTGATCAATATCAGATTTTTTTTTCTACAGCCCAGTGCAAAAATGAAGAAAACCTATTAAATTGCTGCACGAGACCGATAACCCCATTAGGTTTCTCTATGAAATACCAGTCTTCTATTTTAAAGCCCCCTTATCTAAAACTGGACTTTATATCCATTTTGGCTATTTCTGTTTTAAAACCTAACTTTTTTATCATGTTTACTGCATTTTCAAAAGTTGAATATTTTACTATAAGTATAGATTGATTGATTGTTGGTTGCTTAACGTCCAGTGGCAAATATTTCATGCATCTAAAGTATAGAAATCATCAATAAAATCATTGACGACGCCATTAGCTGGTGAAGGCAAATGAGTTAAAACCCCGTTTTCTTTGGCACAATGCCTATGAGAGAAACTCGTAGATTTGAAATAAGTCGATTATAAAAGGGGCCCGCAATTCTACCATTTTCAACTTCACACATAACTTTTTACCAAGCTAAATTTGGTTCTTGTAAAACTGACTTTAAATTATTGCTTTCATAGCAACCCTTGGGCCTGTATAGTGTGTTCGAAAACCATATTTAAAACCATTATATAATATATTTGCCGATGCTTTATCAGGGTAGTCTTTCAACATATTCTCTAAAACCGTGGCTTTAATAGGGGTAAATCCCAAACACCAATTATCGAACTGTTGATTGAAAGTTGTAATAAATGAGAAAATTTGAAATTTTTAAAATTGCATCCGTGGAAAGTTGGCCTGCTGACCTGAAAATCTATAATTCTTAACCAAAAAAACGATTATTCTAGTTAAAATTTCTATGTGGATTCGAAAACCTAGTTGACTGGTTTGTAGCTCTAGCACTGGACTGATACCTTGGTGCAATATTTTGTGTAGCAGGTGCCCTAGGGTAATTTTGATACCTAGCAGCAGAATGTTGCGAAGTTACTGAACTTCGCGGACTCTTGTTATATGAAACATTTGTACATTGCATCAAAAGATGGAACTGGCTACATCTTTTACATAAATGGCCATATACACAAGTACAAACACTCTTAAAATCATAAACGTAACAAGGTCTGCTAACAGTGTGAATTGTGTAAAATGTTGTCTGTTGAAAATTATTTATGGCTCCTGCAACAATCTTAAGCCATAGTTGCCCATCAATGACGTCCCATGTATGCATATGATCTCTAGCTTTTCTTGTCATATTTATAAATGTTCTCAAAAAATACATTGCCAACCCATTATTGCCCATTATTTGCAATAACATTTCCACATAATTTAAAAAAAACCTTCAGTCCACTCACCAATGTTAGATAATGATTTTACTTTTGAGTATTTGTTTCTTTCGATTAAAATGTCCTCATATTCATATACACCTAGCACTTTCTTCGGTTGATCAATATTAAAAACAAAATTCTTGTACAGTAGTTGAGACAAATCAATATAATCTAAATTCCAAATTTTATTTATAATTTTCATCACCATCATTACTAGTATGTATAATTAAAACCTCACCATTTTGAAAAGTATTAAGAGCTGTGGGCTGCGGTGGTTGAAGAGCCTGAACAAATCCCTGACCAGGATCTTGTTGTCCAGGGGGGGGGGGCTGTTAAGGGACTACAAGCGGCATTCCAACCTGTTGTGGTGGTAATAAGAGCTGTTTTGGTGGTAAAAACCGCTGTTGTGGTGGCAATAACGGTTGTTGTGTCGGCAATAATAGCTAATGTGGTTAAGGAAGCTGATGTGGCAGAATTAGACTGGCTTGAGGAACATCTTGGACTTCATTTTGTAAAACAGGCGCAGCTCTCCTGGGGTGACGCCTTCTGTTTTCCGATGGTTGCGCTGGCTTTTTCTGTCAACGTGGCGCGCGGTTTGATCAGAACGTTAGTCAATTAATTAGTAAATGATTATATCGTTTGTCATTTTTACATTCCTAAATTTACAGATTGCATTAATAAGAAAAAAGAAATATTTTACTTTCTCGTTGATAAATTAGTATTTAGATACAATGTCAATATCTAATCAGTAGAAAAAAACAAAAGCACAAAAACTTGATTGTTACTGATTCATTGTCCAGTGGCAGATATTTCAACTATATTCAGCGTAATATAAATAGCAAACATATAATAAGGAACGAAAGATACTGTATTTGCATATCTATATATATATCTATATATTGATTAGTTTTTCGCTTCATTGGAGACATCCTTGATGACAAGAAATAGTTTACGAAGTGTAGATATAATTAGATACATTGTATGTTTAAAATGATATATAACTATCTACTCAATTAACAAATGAAATATAGAATAATGACAAAAGAAAAGGTTTATGACAGAGGGTTAACATTTCTCAGATATATCCATGTCCATTGTTAAAAACCACGACCAGAAACATGAAAAACTACCATGTCAGAGTGTTCATATTGGATATTTTTTTATCTATGACAGAGAGTTGTCTTTCTCATGAATACAATATATCCATATCAATTTTCAAATGCCACGAAAAGAAACATGAAAAAAAAAACCAACCATGTCGGAGTATTAATAGTGAATATGTTTGATCTATAACAGAGAGTAAACTTTTCTCAAGAATACGATATATCCATGTCCATTGTAAAACGTCACGAACAGAAACATAAAAAAATACCATGTCGGAGTGTTGATAGTGGATATGTTTAATCAATGGAAGATCGTATACCTTTCTCACGAACACGATATATCCATGTCCATTTTTTGATAGTGAATATGTTTGATCTACAACAGAGAGTAAACCTTTCTCAAGAATACGGTATATCCATGTCCATTGTAAAACGCCACGAACAGAAACATAAAAAAATACCATGTCGGAGTGTTGATAGTGGATATGTTTAATCAATGGAAGATCGTATACCTTTCTCACGAACACGGTATATCCATGTCCATTTTCAAATGCCACGAACAGAAACATGAAAATACAACCATGTCGGAGTATTGATAGTGGATATGTTTAATCAATGGCAAAGAGTAAACCTTTCTTAAAAATACGATATATATATGTTCATTTTTCAAATGCCATGAACAGAAACGTGACAAATTCATATACAATGTCAAATGCCACGACCAGGAACATAACAAAGCTATCCTATCAGAGCATTAATACAGGGTATGTTTGGTCTATATCAGAAAGTAAACCTTTCTCAAAAATACACTATATCCATGTCCATTTTCAAATGCTACGAACAGAAATTTAACAAATTCTTATCCATTATCAAATGCCACGATCAGGAACATAAAAAACTTACTAGTATATGTCGGAGTGTTGACAGTGGGTATGTTTTGTCTTTTTTACAGAGATTAAACCTTTCTCAAGAATACGATATATCCATGTGCATTGTCATATGGCATTAAGTCATTAATATAAGAATAAGAAGATGTGGTATAATTGCCAATGAAACAACTCTCCACCAGAGACCACATGACATCTATAAAGTTTAAAAATATTGATATACAAAATAACAATCATATATAGTTATAATAAATGCATATATGTGCAAACTGATGAAATCTGATATATATCACTATGTTTTAAACAATTTTAAATTAGACAAATATTTCATATTCATGAAAAAAATATTATTGTCACGCTAAGAAGTCTAGTGCACTGTAAAATTGTTTTTATTGTGCAATATTCTATTAGGTACTCGATTTACAGTAACTATGAAACATTTCATCAGCGTGTACAAAAAAATCTCCAATGCCCTCAAAATTAAAATTGTAACTTTTTTTTTATCTTTTGTTAACATAATCTATGGGAATTTTCGCATATATGTTCTAATTTTTCCCGTTAGAAATTTTGGCATAATAAATGCATTTAGATTTTTACTACTGAATTTGTATTTGACAAAATATAGTGTTAAATAACTTGTTAGGTCAATTAAATTTGAAATTTTCTTAGAGTTATGCTAATATTTGTTCGGATTTGAAATTATATGAACATCTTGTAGCATATAAAAATTAGGAGATCTGGTATGATTGTCAATGAGCATTCATTCTTATTGCTGCGTCAGTACTTTTTCGAAAATTAAGGTATTAACCCATATTGTAAAGTAAATGTATATTGAGAAATTGATTTAAAAATGTAACTTATACAAATGCTTGAATATTCTCTTGGAAAATTATAAAATGAAACTACAACTTGACAGACATCGTCTATATAACAATTAATGTAAAATTACAATTTGGTGTCCATCTCTGATGTTAGTTCCCATGAAACACATAAATCATGTTTAACAAAGAAGGGTTACATAGCCCATCAAAATGTACAGAAGATAAAACATCAACACAGTTAACTTCCGAACAAAAACATCTGTTGGTACTATAGCAAAAATATGTCGTGAACTTTTAGCTTTGCTTAACACTGTTTAGAATCTTCGATACAGTAAAGTTAATTAATATGCTCACTTTGTTATCGAGGAGGATTAAACACTGATGCAATCTTTAAAGAACGAATTTGTAACAAAAATTTGCTTGTTCCGTTTCATATATTTTTGGTTCAGTGTACTCGTTACAATACTAAAGGTTCAACCATATTTTATCTCTATGTATAAACTGCATTAAAGATGTTCTCCGTATACATTTTTTAACAGCCAAAAAGACAGATTCACCGGAACTAGAAGTGTAAGTGTGTATATGTATTGTTTTACGTCTAATATGTTCATTGAAATTCATATCTATTGCTCAGGGTGATGTGTTAAAACTTTTACAGTATCGTATTGTGTGTTTTAATACCAGCAATATTTATAGTTTGTTGGAGTTCAATTTCCCTTTTCTGATC